CGTTCAATAAACTTTCACACACCAGGTGAAACGCTGTGACAGTTAGTGGTAAGTCGGTTTTTTTAATTGTTTGCATTTTACGGGTACATTATCAAATAATGAAATAATACCTAAGAGCCAAAAATAACAAACTCCACCTTTATTTACACTGCATTCCGTCGTAATTTGCTTCAGGCATTGCGGCGTTGTTAGATTTCATTTTACTTTAAAGCCGCTTTTCTCTAAAAAAATGCCGTTTTATCTTAAGGTAATAAGGCCCACCTAAGAAATTATAATTAATATCTACGAGAGAAATTTACTTTTTCAAACTTTTATTATTATAAAAAATAGAAAAAAAATTGTCTTCTGGGCAAGTGCATATAGTAAGGCCAATATTTAAATGAACAAAAAACAAGTCAAATGAATAAACAAAACACAAAAAATCAAAAAATAAAAAGAAAATATTAAAATAATGATATCCAAACATAAATATCAAAAATATCCCTTTGGGCCTTAATATCTGCAACGACATATAATGAGATTTGAATGAGAGATAAAAAAATAACAGTTCAACAAAATACTGATAGAATAAAAAATAAATGTAACACACTAAAAAAACAGTATCAAAGATAAAATATGGTATTAAGTATAAATCTAGTACTTAAGGCATACAGTCTGGACACAAAAAATTTTCAGTATCGTCCGCAGTCAAACTAGCACAATCCTCATGGACCCAAAAACCACATGAAGCACATCGTCTCATATCTGCTACATAGTCTTCGTAGCAAATCACACAGTGCCATTCTTCGTTATGTTCTTTTGTTTTTGATGCAATGGAAGGCACAGATTCAGATGGCGATTTAGCGGTATTCGATAAGACTGGAACGGGATCAAGTTGAGACTCCACCTCCTTTAAAAATACGGATCGCTTGACTTCAACTGCTTTGTAATTTATAGCTTTACGTCTTGGAGCAGATTTTTTTTGACTTGATCTGGTGTTGGTAACACTTCCGCGAAGGAATTATTCAAAGGGATTAATTTTTTACGTAATTCACCTAATGGCAGGTAGTCATCTGAATCATATTCCGAATCATCGGCAGCGGCGGTCGTCTCCTGGTAAGGTTTCTCAGTTGCAAGACTTGAGGCAAATGCTTCAATGTGAAGAACATCCTTATCATAAGGGCATATTCCCGTAGCTCGAAAGCCGCTTGTAATATTTCCAATGGACATTGCTTTCTGCCATGTAGGTGTGAATACTTCAGAAAATCTTTCCCTGTTTAAATCACGTGTAGGATGTTTATCCCAGTACTTTAACAATTCATCGTCCCAATAAGCTTCAAATGCTCGAAATATAGCTTTGTCCATCGGCTGAAGCTCATGGGTCGTGTTAGTCTAAAGACAATATAAGTGAATCTCATGAGCTTCTGCTTTCTCAGCAATGCTAATATCCAAATGGCATTTGGCCCCATCAAAAATTAAAATTACTGGCGGAGGCGACATGTATTCAATGAAATGGTCTAACCACTTATCAAACGTTTCTATCGTCATGCTCCCTTTAGGCGTCATCATAACTTTTGAGCCAGCCGGTAAACCATCTGAGTAGGTTGGTTTCATTCTCTTGCCATTAAAAAGAATGACAGGCGGTATGGCATGTCCGAGAGCATTAGCGCAAGCGACGATAGTTGCGTTTTCGGCGTGTTCATGAGAAATTACATGCACTCGTTTTGCTCCTTTGGCTGCCAGGACGTTTTGTTGGTGGTGAAGAGTCAAGCGGCAACCCTTCTCGTCCATATTATAAATTTTTGCTTATTTTTTAACTGAGTGCGCTCCAACAAATCTCCTAGTTTTTTGAAATGATCTTCTACGATAAAACGATTTAATTTTTGGGCTCTTGCTGGATTCATGAATTGAGATCGACGTTTTGATATTCTCGGATGATTTTTCAGAAAAGTCCTTACCCACTCCCTACCAGCGAGACGAGTTTCCTGATTGAAACAATGCTTAATTTTCCTTTGCTCAACATACCTGAACACAGACCTTCTTAATGCTTTTGGTGTTAGCGGAAAACCTTTATCGGCCGGCCGAATTATTTTATTCTCAAGGTCAGTCTCTTCATTATCGGTCAAAATTGTTTGTCTACCAAGTTTTCTCTTCACGCTTTGTGATTTAATGTGGTTCCTAAGTGTTCGTCTGGGTATTCCGCATTTTTGTTCCACCCAGCGCTGAGATTTTCCCTCGTTAATATAATTAATATATAAATAAATCTAATGAGTACGTGTATTCATGGCGGCAGAAAATAAAGCCCAAGCCTTTTTCAATGCATTGTAGAAAATAAGGCCCGGGCCTTATAACCTGTAACACAATAAAATTAATTTTGAGGTTATTAAACAACAAACAAACCCAACATAAAAAGAAACGCTACGTAAAATGAAACTATCAGATACATAGATTATCATGCATACATAATGAAAAATCTACGTATTATTAAAACAATTTAATTTGCTTACTTACCGGTCGAAATTCTTATAAAATACAGAACAGCGAAACGTGACACCATAGAACAAGCCAGGAAGCTCATAACCATAGAACAAAATTACATTTCCGGCAACAGTAATACTAAATATTATTAACAGATGGCGATATAAATATTTTAGGCGCTTTCCTTTGGGCAAACCAGCGTTGGGCCTTAATATCTGGTGGGCCTTATTACCCCCGGGTACCTTATATGAAATTTTTGCTTCTTTTAACCCCTTCTATCACCCATTCAAATAATCAATATAATAACAGTTACACCCTGAACGACACAAACTAAATCTCTAGATTTTCTAAACGGAAAACTTATTTCCGAACCATGCGAACGTGTCCAACGGCCATCATTATTTCCTGTATGCGCAAGTTCAACATAGACACCTTTGTTAGTGAACGTAATCCTCGTCTGAAGTCTAGACTTGGAGCGTCCGTAAAGTTTACCGTGATACGAGCATTACACATCCGTTGTATGGTATGGCTACATCGTCCGAAGGACAGCTCGTGCTCAACATTGTAACATCGTACAGCAACGGCGAGCCGTCGGTGTTTACAATGACCCTCATTAAGTTCGCTTTTATAATCTAATGGCGGTATAACACAGCTGCCCGTCGGATCATTGGATACTGGCCCACGCAAAACGGGCATTTAAGGTACCTTTATTATATTTTATATTTTATATTTTATATTATTATATATATATATATTATATTATTATATTTAGTACACGAGCTTTATTATTCAGGCGTTTCGCCAGTGTACTCAATGTATAGAATACTTAGCATTAACATTTGGATAATAATAATAATAAATGGCCCTTATTAGTCACAACCCTACAAAATAAACGAACAAAACTACGTGTAATGCTCTCGAATTCCGCGCGATGAGTAATTGACAGCGGATGGATAATAACACTGTTAAACACAGGTATTGTGACATGATAATTTTTAATCAAATCTAATAAGAGAATTTTTCTATCACCTACAGATATTCTCGGTAACATCTACTTTTATGAATTACAATACGTAACACCTCATGTTGCTGCATTTCTCGGCGTTTATGCGATGGTACACATATATAAAGTTAAGACCTGTCTATTCCTGTTTATTATATGTGAGCTCTATGTTAAGAGAACATATTGCGTTTATTAGTAGACTAATAGCAGCCGAGTCAGTTACGCTCTGTATTGAAGAGTATTGAGATGCTGCTGAGTGCTGCTAACTTTTGTTAAAACAGTGTGTTGTTTTTAGTTTATTGTGATCGAGACTAGCTTTATGGGCAATGCCTAGAAATTGTGTAAATAGTGCGAACAGTTTTTGTTATGTGTGCGGAGAGCTAACTTTTAAATCCCAAAAACGTACTTTTACTCCCCTTGTGTTGAAAGCATACGAACCAATGGTACCAATGGTTTGGAGCATTGATTCCCAAAGTGGTCTATATCGACCCCTAGGGGTCTATGACAACCTGCAAGGAGTCTACGTCAGCGAAAAAAAATTTGGGGATCCATGAAATGAATATGGGGGTCCACGATAGTGGATCTCAACACATACACTGATAGTACCTATTCACTTACATCATACTATCTTATAATATCAAAATATATACATTATTTATAAAAGTACCTATGAAGTAAAAAATTTATTATATATGTTTATAAAATTGTGTAAGTTGTAGGATGTTGGTATTCGCTTTGTGGTCGCAATACATTTTGAACTTGTAAAAACCTGAGAGTCGCAGTCTCAGAGCTTCGCTACCTTGCACTGACTTGTTCAATTCGTCACTCGATAAATACGAATCTGGGACAAATACGTTTATTCGTTTCCTGAATCTTGAAAAGGAAAGTGCAAAGAAAATATTTTAAAAAATATAAACAGATAGTATATCACACAAATTATAGTGAGTCAGTGTTATTTTGTTTGAGAGTGCTGGAGAAAAGTACTTAAGTACATTATTTTTTATTAAAGTTTGGTTTTCTACTCGTAGTTAGCAAAGATAGATAAATTACGCTAATCATGACTTTAGTTAATAGTAGTTAAATATTCAATCATGCAAAATTACACGAGTACTCCTCAATAGTTTCTTTTTGAAAGTTTTAGCAATCGGTAATATAATTACAGTGCAATCTCCGTAATTCGAGATAATTGTTGCAAGAAGATGTTCGAATTATAGAATGTTTTCGGAAAAATCTAAAAATATTTTTAATATACAGCTGCTGGACTTTCTGTCTTATTTAAATAATTTAATTTTGCCCACAGATGACTGATGCCATGTCCGAATCTAAAAAGAAATGTAGACAGTACAGTGTTGATTATTTGAAATTGGGCTTCATTCCACCATTGCCGGACAAACAATCGCCTATGTGCCTTTTATGCAACGAAGTTTTGGGCAATGACGCTATGAAATAATCTAAACTGCAAGATCATCTGAGAAGATGCCACCCTGATAAAACAGAGAAAGATTTGAAATACTTTCAAACACTCAAAGATAAATTTCAGAAGAGACCTACACTGGACAGAATGTTCGCTTCGACGTCACAAAGAAATGATGATGGTTTGCGGGCGTCTTACTATATCTCGTTACTTATAGCAAAATCCGGAAAACCGCATACTATCGGAGAGAAGTTAATTTTGCCAGCCGTTGAAGAGGTTTTAAAAACTGTTTTACACAAACCTGCATCTGATATCATTAAAAGAATTCCCTTAAGCAACAATACTGTTGAAAGACGTATTGATGAAATGAGTTCTGATATTGAAAGCTTCTTATGTAATTATTTGCAAACGACCCATTTCTCTATACAACTGGACGAGTCAACTGTTCGTTTTATTATGAATCAAGAAATCTACGAAGAACTGCTCTTCGCAAGAACTTTGATATCCGACACTAAAGGTAAATTAATATTTCATGTTTTGAAGGATTACTTCATTGAAAAAGCAGTTCCTTTATCAAATATAATATCAGTAGCTACAGATGGAGCACCTGCCATGGTTGGACGTTATCGTGGATTTATAAGCTATTTAAAACAAAATGTGTCAGGGGTGTTAGCAATACATTGCGTCATCCATCGACAACATTTAGTTGCTAAAAATTTGAGTGTTAGATTGCATGAATCACTTCATTTAGTCATTGATGGAGTAAACCGAATCCGAAGCAACGCGTTGAATACGCGGTTATTTGCGCAGTTGTGTGAAGAAAATGACGAACACTTTCATCAATTACTCCTTCACACTGAAGTACGCTGGCTGTCGAAAGGCTTATGTTTGACAAGATTTTCTGCACTTTTGAGACGATTTTAGAATTTTTGGATACTAAAGATAAAATTTTAAAAGAAAATTTCATGAAGAGGAAAACAGACATCGCCTATTTAACAGATTTGTTTACAAAATTTAATATGGTTAATTTGCAATTACAAGGCGACAGTTTAAATTTGATTAAAACAAAGTCCAACTTATCAGCGTTTCTTGCCAGAGTTAAACTAATGAAGCAAAATATTGGACGGGGCGAATTTTCTCAGTTCCCCAATTTGTCACAGACAAGCTGCCAGGAAGACGACGTTTCAACTTACGTTCCACATTTAAATGCCCTCTATTCAGATTTTGAATCTAGGTTTGAGGATATTTTGACTATGGTAATACCACCGTGGATAATTAATCCATACGGTGACATAGAAGAAACGAATGTCATAATACAAGAGGAACTGACTGAACTAAGTACAAACGAAGAACTTAAGGTTCAGTTTAAAAACGGATATCAGCAATTCTGGCTGCAAAACAACATACCCGTTACTTATTCCGTATTATGGAATATAGCGAGGAAATTTTTAATTTCCTTTCCATCGTCATGCCTAGTGGAAAGGGGGTTCAGCGCTGTTACCAATCTCCTAACGAAAAAAAGAAACAGACTGGACATCATTAGCCGAATTCAGGATTGTCTCTTATTTTTATTAAAATCCAGGTAGACATAACGCACCTCGGACGCCAATCCACATCTTCATGCAAGTGCTGCACCCTTTGATAATGGTATGGATGCAACCCTGCCTTCCTCAAGATGCGCCAAACCGATTTCTGGGATACGTCATGACGTAACGCCAAACGTCTCGTACTAGTAGTCGGGTCAGCAAACAAATCATCCAAAATGGCTTCTTCGATAGCAACATGAATAAGAACACCTGGTTCGCGGCGATCTCGAGGCAAACCAAGTCCAGTGCTAGCCAGTCTTCTATGTACTTCTTGGAAGTTACGGGCTGATGGAACAGGGCGTCGATTTGGAAATGCAGCTAGATAAGCTGTGCAAGCAGCTCTAGCACTCCCTCGGTACATTCCATAATAATAATGGATATCGGCAATGTGTGCCGGAGGCATCGCAACCAAGAAGCGAAAGCGTGATATGTAGCAAACGAAACTGATAAAGTTGGCAGGAGAAACACAAATAGCTGCCTAACTGCCCAACATTCGATTGTTTTTTAACTGGGCCCGCCTCCCCACTCGTACTTCAGCCCGCGCGACTCTACATTGAATCACCAAAAAAAGGTATCTACATGATAAACAATGGTGCCTAGCAAGACGATGGACTTTTTTATAAACACTCATAGAAACTGTTACATTTGAGTAATAAACGTGCAATTTTTACTTTTATAAAGCTGATAACATGTCGAATAACTTACAAATAAAAAAGGTAGGGTACAAGGGACAATATTTATAGAAAATTAATTAAATATTAAATTAAATTATTGTAAAAATGATGAAAAAAAACAGATTTTCATCAAAATTTTCTTTATTCTAAATGGATGTCATTACTTTTCCTGGAATTCTTCACTTTTCAGGCACGTCCTTTTACCAGCAATCACTACAAAATGTATTCCAATATGATAGGACATTTAGTTTAAAGGTTGTAACGAGTTATTTCAATATGGTTAGAAGCTGCTACTAAAAATTTTAAAATATTCATATATTCATAAAAAATCAAATTCATGTTTTTTTGGTGATTTATCCGTCGATGAAATAGAGTGTAGTTTCCCTGATTTTGATATGTGCACTTTATGAAGACTCACACTATATATGTTTATAAATTCTATATTCTATAAAAGTATATTCTAGTCATAATCATCACAAACATTTTTTCTATCTAATAACCATCTTGAATAGGTATTAAATAGCCGCTCAATCCACTCAAGTTTATTTTTGAAGACAATGATCCTGAAGGTTTGTCAAGGGGGAGTGGTGGCTTTCAGCAAACTCGGCTGCAAAACAGCTACAAGGTAGCTAGAAAACAAAACTGGAGGAATGTGAATGGTGGTTCTCCGCAATGCCTTCAAATTAAAAGAAAGCAGGTATTGAACAAACTTCTTCAGAAGATGCATTAATCGACGTGACCCGATGTGTACAAAAGAAGAACTGACCGCTGAAGCTTAAAATCCCATTAGAAAATGGACGGGGTAACACCCAAACAAGTAACGTAAGGTACAGAATAAAAGGGTTCTACTTCAAAAGCTGGTGTTTGGGGGTCTGCTATCCCAGAATCTGGAAGTTAACGAATTGACGCCCAGACCACAATCTCAGCAGGAAGGTGAATGACGCAAAACATCTAACTTTTTAAAAGAAGGTTAAATAAGTGGCCTTGAAGAAGGTATGTTCGAAACCGAAAGGAGCGGAGAAAAACCGGTAAAGAAGGTATGTTCTGACGTTATCTTTATAGGAAACCAAATACTCCTATATACAGGGTGTCCGCAAAGTTGGGGTTTTCCTTTTCAGAAACAACTACCCTTGAAATAACAAAGGTAATGTGTAGTGAAACGAGGGCGACCAAATAAAAAAAAAAATAAAGGAAAAAGTACTCACTCTCCTGTTGACGAGAAGGGCTAAGTACGTCTCTGCCCGAAATCATACCGCTCCAACAGAAAATGAAATCAGCTGAAGCGCTACCGAGTAGACGCAGAAACCACATTGATTGTCTTACACTTAATGGCACATCTTCTAACAAGGAAGGCAAAATGTTGCGTAATTGCGTGCGGATTTTCTACTGGCCAAACATGACTGTTGCGAACGTTATTCACCCCATTACGCGTGAACGTAGATTCGTCTGTCACCAATATGCACTTCAAAAAGTCCGGATTATCACAAAACCGCACTCTTGCTGGAAAATCGTCAGGTTGAAGGGCTTGTACACGTTGGACATGAAACGGATACAGCCCCTCTTCACGCAGCGTTTGCCACACTTTAGTTTTTGATACTTGCACTTCTCTAGCTACGTCTCTAGAGATTCTCGTCTACGCGATTACCTCTACATGCGTGACCGTAACCGTCGGTTGAAGGTTGCATACTGACCTGACACACTGACCCCGACCCAGTTCTGCCGTCAGGTTGAGACCTTGTACCAATCTGTGATGTCCCGGGTCGCGGCTACAGGACTCGTATTCAGATATTTTTGATGTTGCAGAGACCTTAATCTCGGTTCCCTTAAGACATTGGTGTATATGGTACTAAGAAAAATTGTTTTCAAGATCTACGCGTCGTGTAAAGGAAAACCCCAACTTTGCGGACACCCTGTAGGTTACGTGTTCAGCGCCACTCTGTGGTTTCTGTACGTACTAACCTATATAAGAATATTTGGTTTCCTATTTTCTAGTTTATCTGACGCTAAATGCGTTTAAACAAATTAAATACAACCGACAACCTCTCACCTCCCTTAAAATTTTTTTCGAAAACGATCAGGATTCTCTGAAACACCAGAAAACGAAGTTTGTCCGATTATTTATTTATTTCATGTTTGCCCTTTTTCTCTGTTCCCACTAGACCGATTTTCAAAAATCAATTTCATAATTATTTTTTAACTATGTCCCAGGTTTCACTGCACGTTCAGATCGACGCGTCCAAAAGAAGATGAATTAACATGCTATGATGTCGTGATGGTTAACATTGTTGAGTGGTTCAATATACAAAAACGTTCAATATTGGAGAGTGCGTCACTTTAAAACATAGTAAATTTATATTCTAGGACCTAGAAGTGCTGTTAAGCTTCAGAATGAAGAGATACTACAGGGCCTTCAATTCTGTTTGAAAAAATGTTCCAAGGTGGCGCTCTGCAGCCGTCTTGCAACTTTCAACTGTCATTTTTACGTTAAAATGGAGTATATATATATACATCAATTTCACTACTCAGAATTTTCATTTGTCAATTTGATCCGTTCAAAAAGTAAGTAGGGTTCCGTAAATACAAACCACAAAATGTAAACCACAATTTTAAAATTTTGGTGGATGGCATACTTAACGTTAATCACGATTTCGCAATTTTGGTGAATGGACATACTACATGATCCGTATCACATCCACCATTCATTTCAGTGAGCTGTCGGAACTGTTTTACGGTTTCTTCATGTCATACACATCATCCTGCAATTGGCACTAGCTGATATTGGTTGTTGTATAATGAATAAATGGCTATAAAGTAAAAGGGTTCTTGAGCAGAAGCTATAAAAACTTACCAACAACATTCAGGTAGCCAGTCTGGCTCTTCATCGGGTCTGTGTTAATCTGACACATGTACCACCCTTCATCGGATTCCCTAACGTCTTTGATGTGGAGATGCCAGACGTTTTGCTCACTGTGAGACACACCGATCCTGCTGTTCTTAGTGATTACGTGATTGTGGATAGTCAGGATTGTTTGGGTGTCCACTTTCAACCAAGCCACCTGGAAGTAAGAAGAAACACGTAGATAGATCAAATTTGAACCAGTGTCTCAGAAAAATATTAGATACAATTAATTGAAGTCCAAGTTTTAATTATTTTTCTAGATAGTCCCTTTTCTTATCAAACGTCGATGCAGTCTTTGGACGTCTATCGTATCAATCACACAAGACCTGCCAGACGCACTCGCCAGGCTTCTGCCTCCCATTCCAACTCTGCCTTTAAAACTTCGCACATATAAAACTGGCCGGTAGGACCGCTCCTTCGTTCCTACGGTGTCGGGATTGTGAAACAGTCTGTCTCGAGACCCTTTCAGTATAAAAAACAGTACCTGCTTGACATGTTCAAGCCAGAAAGTTACTTACTTATTTCATATTGTGGTTATTTCCCCAAACCTGTCTATCATGGAAAATGCAAATTTGCAAATGTAGCTTGAAATTAGCCAAACACTCAAATCGTTAAAGCATGAAAGCTATGAAATTGTGGTATCACTTGACCCCAATAGGATTGGATGCTACATATATTCGTCCCGAAATAATATAGTAGATAGGGACCTGCTGATTGAGATGCAGCGTATGCAGCGGCCTAGTCACGCATTTCTGCTGAATTCGAATCGTTAATATATGCATATGAAGTCGGTTTGCACGCTCGTCGACCGCAGTCTGCGGTCACCACACGTCAATTAGTGGCTTAAATTAAGCACACAGTCAGGTGTTGTATTCATTGCGGAAAAACTGATTCGTCTGATTGGGTGCTGCTGGTAACAGGACCGCTTTGAGACAATTTGACGTAATGGTTTGTAATCAAACCACCGAAAAATACGCGAATAATTTAAGTTATTGGGGATACCAATAATAATAAATTAATGATAATAACTTTTGTTCATGTTAGCCTCGCGGATATGGAACGTCAAACTACATTATTACAATACAAGATAGTATTTTGCACAGTGAAACTTAAGTGAATATTAACAATTTTCTAACAAAAATGCTTGCAAACGCATTTTGGAAAAGTTAGTAGCAACTACCCAACTAGCAAAGTAGTGGTATAAGCTTTTGGTAAAAGAACCGTTCAGCCATAAAAGCTCTCTATTTTTGTTGCCTGAACACCAAAATGCTGGCTTAATGTTGTGTGGAATGCAAATTTGCTTTCTGCAACATATTTGCTCTAAAATGAGGTGTTTAAAATATTCTTATAGCATAGTTATACAATACCTTATAGAGCAAATTTTTAACTGTTGCATAAACGTTTATACAACTATTTTATACGGCATATTTGCAAGTTAGTCAAAATGGTTGTGTTGTGGCATCCATGGTAACGTTTATAAAACAAACCCTAGCCTTGTTGTTTTGCTGTGCAATTCACTACTTTAGCCAACAAATTGCACCCAACGGAACCACTTATACAACTGTTGTTTAGTAACTGTTAAAGGCTGTACATATGCTAAATATGTTGGTAAACAACTTCACCATAACCTTTCTGCTGTCATATTTCTGTTAATATGCCATAACCAATGTTTTAAGACAAACAACGCATGCATATTGGTTCAAAAGGTTTTATCAACTGTTCAAACAGAAGATATAGATCTGGTACAAATTCTGGGTAAATCATTCGACTCTGTCGGTATTTCATTTCAGACATTTGTCAAATTGCTGTATAACACCTGCAGGCAACACCAAAATATTCTAATAACCTAAAGACAACATGGACGATACCATGATTGTACACAACCACCCGCCACATTGGGCAAAGATTTATTCCTCTATTTAATATTAAATAATTATGTTTCAGTTCGAAATTACAGATATAAAGTGATAAAAATTAGTGTAATTGTGTCTAAATAAAGGATTTAACGCAGATAAGTTCAGTTTTCCATCTTAAAAATCTAGACATACTTTTGATCATTGTCAAAATATGAATCAAATACAAAGCCCGTGGAAATTGGGTAATTAATTTGCACGATAATCACAATAAAATTTGCTGCGCAAGTAATTCAATAGCCCTATATCACAGTGTCGAAGATATCATAATATACCTGTGTATGAAATTCACAATGGCCGATATGTAAGTAAACAGGATGACTGTAATGTGTATCCTTCACTTCGTCTATACAATACATAAGAAATAGTTTGGTTGCAATAAAGTAGAATCACGTAACAGAATAGTTGTATAGTTGACAAAAACTGAATCCTGCACTGACGCAAATGTCCTATAGCGGCTGCAAGAGGCTTACACTTTTGTTTTATAACTGTTACCTGCAGCCCTTATAGAACCTCTTAAATGACTGAAGTGTCCTATTAGGTGTGCCCATTCCGCTTGTATAGCTGTTCTAAGAGGGTTTTGCCAATGTTCTTACAGTATACAATGCTGTTTAAGGAATACTGTATAATCATTCTTGCAACTCTAATATGAGTGATAATTGTTAGTTGGGTAAGGTTGATATGACATTAGGCAGTTGATAGTATATGGCGGCACACATATACGCAGGACTTTTACGATAAGTGTTTAGATCGTAATTAGCGATAGATATGTCCTTATTGTTGAAAAGGTTGTATTTTTGCTGATCCTTTTTTGAAATATGAATATGCGCTGTGCATCCACAGGGCAACCTCAGCACAGGTGAAGAGTATATACGGTTGCAAAATAAACATAGTGAATGCTTAGTACTCATTATGCTTTTTGAGTTATGCAACGCAAAATACGCTGAACTGAGCTTTTTCAAGGCATAATCTAGAGATCTCTCCAGCCGAGTCTTTCATCTACTATTACCCCGGAAAACTTTGTTTGTTCATCCCTGCCAAGAACTGAATTATTTAACTTTAACGAAGTTGGTAACTTATAGCACATATATTAAGTTTTACTTTCATTGATCTAATACTGATCTGGCTTTTAACTCAAGTCGTTTCGGTGTATCAGCCGCTATACTGATGGACGTGTCATTTACGAATAACCCAAGGAGAGTGTCATCAACGCTGATATCTTCATCCAAATCGTTGGTGAATAAAACTAACATAAACACATTTTGCGATTAGATATAAAGGACTAAAACCAGTCATCTACTGGTTACCTAAATCCAAACTCATCTAATTTTTTTGATAAGACAGCTGTTTGTATGCCTTACTCAAGACAAAATATATTGTTAGTATGCATTTATTTCTGTCTAGTTGACTATTCATAAAGAAGAAAACAGAGAAAGCTGCAGAATTGGTGAAGCAACCTGGTCTAAGTATATGTTGCATCTGCAAAATTATCCATTCGATTATATATGATTTTTTCAGAGCTCAGAAAAACTAGTCTAGACTAGAATTTTCGACAGCTTAAGCGTCATCCTTCTTATGAATCAGTAGAACTATAGATAACTTGAGGTCTTCAGGAAAAACTCTATCGATTGACAGGTTAAACAGGTATGATGTCGGGTAAATGAGAAATGTAGCCAAGTACTGGGTGCGCCATCTATTACTTTTTTTTACCTATAGGTTTATGTGTTACCACGTGAGTCAAAAGTCATGTGGTATGCATAAATGAACTGTCAAAGGTATGCCATGTATAGTCATGGATTCGTTTACAACACAACGACGCATTTTGGTTATCCAAACTTATTACGAAAACGGTCGAAATATAAAAAATACTTTTCGCAATCTTCTCACTAGTTTTGGCCGACATGGACACCCTACAGAGCCTGGAATTCGTTCAATTGTTAATCGTTTTGAGAAAACTGGTTCAGCTGAAGGTCGTAGACCATACCAACATGCTCGCCCAGCTCGTACTCGTGAAAACATAGCCGCAGTGAGTGAAAGTGTGCGAGAAGATCCAACCACCTCGACTAGGCACCGGGAATTAGTGAGACCACTTTACGCCGGATTTTACACATTGATTTACACCTCCATCCATACAAAATCCAACTAACACAAGAATTGCAGCCGGAGTCCATCAACAGCGGCGTGTTTTTGTTCATTGGATGCTGGAAAGAGAAGACGGATTTTTGGCCAAAGTGGTCTTTTCTGATGAGGCTCATTTTCACCTCAATGGGTACGTAAATAAGCAAAATTGCAGATTTTGGAGGGCTGAAAATCCACACCAATATCATGAACAACCTCTCCATCCTGAAAAAGTGATTGTTTGGTGCGGATTATGGGCTGGTGGCATCGTTGGACCATTCTTCTTTGAAGATGCAGAAGAAAAGGCTATTACCGTCAACGGGGAACATTATCGCGGCATGTTAACAGACTTTTTGTGGCCACAATTCTTTGCTTTGCTTATTTTGGATGACATGGGGGGTAGAGGAGTCTAGATGATGATTACGTCATCGGTAGTTATTTACTTTTTTACACGAATGGCAACCCTCACATTTTCTTTGCTTGAAAACGAAACGCATTTTCGGGGACTCCCGCAAATAATGCATACGTTTAGTGAACAGCGCGCGGTAATTCTCCTACTCGCTTTAGAACCGAGTAGGGGAATTACCGCGCGGTGTTCACTTGTCTAAATTTCCTCTATCAGTATATTGTTTCGTTTGGACACTATAGCGAGTAGACGTATTGTAAACATAGCAGAGCAAGTTAACATTTGTGTTACCATTGATTCCATTAGCCAAAGTTTAATGTTTAAATAAGATGTCGGTTTACATAGACAAATCCAAGTTATCCCAAAAATTGTTTGAAAGTTTTAAAAAATCTCATACAAGTACAAAAGTACAAATTGTACAAAAGTTAGTTAACGAAGTATGGCGAAATTACAAATTACAAGCAACATCCGACAAGGCACTAGATATTATTGTATCTAAGAGAATCGAAGAAGAATTGCAAGCGGCGACTAAGAATAAATCCAGTCTACTATTTTTTTTTCTAAGGTGAGTGACGAAATCATTTTAGGTACCTATGAGTACTAGAAATATTAGAAATCGCCAAAAAGTTTCTCTTTACTGATTAGAAAATATGATAACCTATCTCAAAGTATAGAGGTAATGTTCATTATATTATAGATTTATTTCTTATGATTGATTCCGTCAATTGGTCACAGAGTAC